CTTAAATTCTTAATCCCTATAAAAAAAAAGTTTGTATAACTTTAAGTGTCTTTTAAAAAATCTGTTATCAGGATGAACAAATGAGCAACATTAGCAATTAGCAAACATGGAGTTTTCGAAGTTTCAATGAGCGAGTGAAGCAAGCAAAAGGTGCATTAGAAGCACCAGATGCTAAGCATTAAAAGAAAAACAGAAAAAAAGTGCATGATTTTTCAAAAGGCGCACGCCTTTGAAAGTGATGCACCTAGGACCTAGGTGAGGCACATACCCTAAAATGTGCCTCACCTGTGCGCCTAAACACAGTTCAGGCACACCTTTTAAATCACTTGGGCGGGATGGGGGGCAAAGTGGCTCTAGCATTTAATCTTGCACCCCAAACCATTAGCAAAAAGTAGGGTTGAGCATTGGGTCAGGCCAGCACAATTAAGACTGACATCCAACCTGCCTAGCCCAATCAGTGGAAATTAAGGTTGGGCATAGACCAAAATATAGGCCTGATGTTAAGTTTGAGTTGGGCTTGGTCAACCATGGCCCAGCCCTAGGGCCCAGGGCCTAGCCCAAAATATATAATATATATAATTTTTATTTGTGTGTGCATATATGTACAATTATTTCACTCCATTTCCCATGTTGCACTTCTCACATAACTTTTCATAAGAGTAAAGATATAAACTATATAACAAACCTCAGCCCTTGGTAAGGTGTAGATCTAACATGTGGGTCAAAATCACTTTCCCTTGACATGATTCTGTCATAGTTTCGAAGTATTGATTAAGTTTATTGAGCTGCGGGCCGAGTTTGGGCCAAAGCCCAGCCTAAGCCCAAAGTCTGAATTCAAGCATCCAGCTGGGCCTTGATCAAAAAGGGTCTAACCTAATGCCAAACCCAAGCAGAAAGGCCATAAATAATAGAACACTGTAACTTGCTTGGCTCCAAAAGTAATTGCAAAAGCTACTTATCCAATAAAGATGAAGTTTTTAGAACTAATTTACCCAAACCTGAACCCCGTTTATTCTTGCACATTGTCTGCCAATTGGTCAAATGGTCCCTCTTAGATTCTCTAGGCTCCCACAAAAAGTTTCTCATGATTTTTTCCAATCTCTTGGCAACAAGCAGTAGGATTTTAAACACCAAAACATAGTATACTGGTGGGTTAGCAAGAGTAAACCTAACTAAGGCTCCACCCTTAAGGAAACATAATTTATCTTATAATTATCAAGCTTCTTAGAAAGTCTATCTACTACTAATTTTAAAAGCTGCTAGATCTAGGACACCTTGAAGGTGAAGCCCAAGACAACAAAAAGGCCAATCAATCATTGAACAACCAAGCTTCAGCATACCTCCCAAGTTCTACTTCCCCTAGACATTTATGTCTGCAATGCAACTCTTACAACTGAGTAGAAATCTGTTGAATCAAAAAACTGCAAAGAAAAGAGGAGTTTCTTGTGGAACAAAAGAAGTTGATAAAGAAAGAAAGAGCAAATCAGATCTGGCCATCATCTCCCATTGGTATTTATACTTCAAGTAAAAAATAAGTACAATGACTACTATGCCCTTATAGGGCGGCTAACACATAAAACTGCATAAAAAACTTAAAAACATCACTCCAAATGGTCCCAACAAGAGTGTTGTGGTCTTCACAAGGGGTGGATATGAACCAAGCTTTTCACGAGCTATTCGAGCTCGGCTCGGCTCGGTCCAGACCGAGCTTCGAATCGAATTCGAGCCTGAGTACCGAGCTCGAATGCTATGCAATTTGGTTTGTTAGGCTCGTGAGCCTATTCGAACCCTATATATATAATTTTTATATTTACATATAATATTCATATATAATTATATAATTTATATTTAATTTTATTGGTGTACACACACTTATATTGTGGTCCTCTTCTTCTTCTTCTTCTTCTTCTTTCGGATTTTCTTATGGCTTCTACAGGGACTTTGTGATATCAGGTAGGCTCGGATTCAAGCTAGAGTAGGCTCGGTTCATTATCGAGCTCGAGCCGAACCGAGCTCGAATGCAAGTGTTTTTTATTCGAGTCGAATTCGAACTGATATTTCTAGTTCGAATCGAGCTCAAACCCGAATTCGAGCTTGATATTTTATTGTCAAGCTGAGCTCGAATAGTCAAATATTCGACTCGGCTCGGCTTGTATCAACCCCTAGTCTCCACTTACTATCTAAACAAATAATAAACAAAATCAACTAACAAATCTGCATAAAATCCTCAACACTCCCCCTCAAGTTGGGAGTAAATGTCACACACTCCCAACTTGCATATGTCATGTTCTTTGCAACCCCTTTGGTGAATTCATTAGCTAACTGTAACTCAAAGAAGACATAAGGGAAGCAAACTTCTCCGGTTGTCACCCTTTCTCTTATGAAATGTCTATCAACCTCAATGTGCTTTGTCCTATCATGTTGAGCTGAATTGTGGGCAATATTCATTGCATCTTGGTTGTCACTATATAACATCATGGGCTCCTCTACATCTATCCCAATCTCACTGAGCAAGGATCTAACCCAAAGTAACTCTAAAACAACATGGGCCATAGATCTATATTCGACCTCTACACTTGACCTAGACACCACTGATTGTTTTTTACTCTTCCATGGATTTCCTCCCACAAATGTGCATACCCCTGATGTGGATCTCCTATCATCTAGACAACCTACCCAATCTGCATCTGTATAGCACTCCAGTTTCAAATTCCCATGATCTAATAATAGAATTCCTCTACCCGAATGCTTCTTCAAGTATGCAAGTATCCTATCAATGGTTTCCCAATGCTGAACCCGTGGAACATGCATATACTAACTCAAAATGTCCAAGCGTGTCATACATAAATATAGTAGTCGGCCTACCATCCTATGATGTCTCCCCAGCATCCTTAACCAACTCACCAATCAAAGCATTAATCTTGTAGCTTGGGTCAATAGGAGTATTAGCTGGTTTAACTCCTAGCTTCCTAGTTTCCTAAGTAGATCCAACACATACTTCTTCTGATAGATGAATATCCCATGCTTGAATCTTGCAACCTCAATCCCCGAAAAATATTTTAGTTCACCTAGATCCTTAATCTCAAACTCCTTCTGCAATGAATCCTTGAGTCCACCAATCTCCCTCAAAATATTCCTTGTAACAAATATACCATCCACATACACAATCAGTATTGACACAAGTGTTTCTCTCCTCTTCAAAAAGAAAGTGTGATCTAACTGAATATGTGTACCCAAAACGGATCAATGCCCCCCTAAACCTATCAAACCATGCCCTAGGTGACTGTTTCAAACCATATAATGACTTTTTTTTAGCCTACAAGCTTTTTCCTCACCAACATTCTCATAGAAACTGGCTAAAAGGCCCATATATACCTCCTCCTTCAAATCACCATTAAGAAATGCATTTTTAACAACAACCTAGAAGAGCAACAATGAATAAGTAGCTGCTAGAGACAAGAGGATATGAACTGAGCTCATCTTAGCTACTGGTGCAAAGGTCTCCAAATAATCTACACAATAGGTCTATGTATACTCTTTTGCAACCAACCTTGCCTTGTACCTCTCTATGATGCCATCAGCCCTATGCTTTACAATGAACACCCAATTGTCTCCTTTTCTATAGGAAAATCAACTATCTCCCATGTCTAGTTCTTAATCAAAGTTTCTATTTCTTCTACCATAGTTGTTCTTCACTCAAGTTTGGATAGAGCCTCACTAACATTCCTAAGTATAGACACATAATCTAGAGAAGAAGCCACAAGAATAAGGTGATACGGCACTATAGGAGAGATGGTGAAATGCAATGGGTTGTACACTTTCTCTTTCCCTTGCAGAGTGCAATGGGAAGATCAAGATCAATCATAACATCAATGTTAGGTATAGAAACATTATTAATCGAATCAAAGGCAATAACATTCTCAAGAGAAATACCTAGTACTAGAGTTGTAAAGCAGCTTGGCACAAGACAACAGCACACAAACCTATCGAGCACGGCACGATTATATGGATCATGCCAGGCTTGGGTTTCTAGGCCCATGGGTCAGGTCAGCACGACACGGCACGACAATAGCTAGTCATTGTACTTTAAGTAAAAAATGAGTATATTGACTAATATGCCCTTATAGGGCGAATAACACATAAAAACTTAAAAATAACTCCAAAGGGTCCCAACAAGTGTGTTGTGGTCCCCACTTACTATCTAAACAATTAATAAACAAAAACAACTAACAAATCTGCACAAAATCCTCAATAAACTGTTTTTCTTATTATAGACTATTTTAATTTTCCCAATTGGGTTTTCCATTTGGGCTCAGTTTGTTAGCATTGTGAATTTAATTTGCATTAGTGTAAAAGCATGGTAGTGCAAATAGTCTAACTATAAATTTGGGTTTATTTTTGCTTCACATTTGGCTATTTTTTTAATTAGAAGTGAAATAGGAAGTAAGATGATGTGATTCCCACCTTCATGAAAGAGAATGGAGGAAAGAGGGTTAATTGTTTGAGAGTTTGGTAAGCAGCAAGATGATGTAGTTTCCATTTTATAAGAGATAAAAATTGATGTAGGAAGAAGGTAGTGGAAATTTCACATCAGTTCTTGGAAAGCAAAATTTGCACTTGCAAAGAGTGCAAATGAGACAGGTGATGGAGAAGGGGGCCCGATAACTACCTCTTGTTTCTGTAACAGTTGGAGCTTTGACTAATTGGTTAGAGAGCATCCTTTGAATGGTAAGTGAATAGGAATAAAGCTTAGATGACTGATCGGTATGCTGAATTGCTGACAGGGGTAAATGTATCACATGACCTCTTAATGGATTCTCCAGGGAAAGTTAACCAAGGGAAGTTATCTGTATGCATCAACAAATGAGAGTAAATGCAGAAATAGTTCAGAAACCCGAGGGGGATTTATAATTGCCAGAAACCAAAGGGTGGGTATCTGTTATTAATCAAAATGGTAAACGAAAGAAGTAGAGAGAACAAAAACTATCGTTTTCACTTACTGTGACAAAACCACCAGTTGAAGACCAAGGTTCTGATGTCCATGTGTTTGTTTCCCAAAGATAAAATGTTCCATCACTGTAACAATACAAAATCATCTACTTTGGTATCATAAACTCAAACATGCAGCACTCTGATTAACAGCCATGCAACTGAAAAATTAAGTTAATTTCCATACAATTTGGCAGTGAAGAAATAATCTCCTGTTGGTGACCACTTCAGCATTGATATACCACCTAATCCCCGTCGAATAGGTGTTCCCAACCCTGTTTAATATAAAAATAGTAAGAAAAAATGCATCCAACAATAGATATACAAAATAAACATAATGCTCTAAATTGTACTCATTAATCTCTAATATCAAAATGCATATACCAAATTTGTTTTCCATGAGACACTAAAATATAACATTTGGAGGGTGGTAACTGGTAAGAAATATTGTTTATGCAGAATGAAATGCAAGACTTAGTGCCATTGGCATCATTTCAAGTAACCACCATAGGAGTATTTGAAAAGTATTGGGCAAAAAAAAAATATCTTGGAAGCTGACTTTTCAGCACCACAAAATCACTTCTAAGAACAACATTTTGAGTCAAAAAAAAAAAAAGATCAATTCTGTGATTCATACTTATCTTGACTATCAGCAATCAAGTTGAGCTCAATAGGAGCCCATCTTCCTTTTTTTTTTTTTTTGATGAATGATTGAAAAATATTTTTAATCAAAAAGTTTAAGAGTTACAAACATCCCAAGGAGAGGCACCAGATTTGATTCTCAAACTCAACTAGAACAAGTTACAAAGTAGCCCAATAAAGACAATCCCAAGAAACCCCTTGTTTGGCTAAAGAATCAGCCACAGCATTTACTGATCTGCTCACCCATTGAACAATATCATATTGCCTGTTAGGCATTTCACTTTTATGAGGAGGTCTCTATAGCCCCAAACAACAGAATCTGGGTTCAAGAGCCACCCCACCACCACCGGAGAATCACCTTCAATTAGTAAATGCCCCACCACAAACTGGTTCGCAATCTGGATCCCTTGCACAGTAGCTAGTATTTCCGCCCTTGTAGAGTGTCCCATTCCCACTAGGCCCGAAAACAAGGAAATAATGTTGCTGTCCTTATTTCTTAGAACCCCTCCTATACCCAAAGGTCATGGATTTACCCTGGCTACTCCCATCAAAATTCAGCTTAATGACACCCTCCAGAGGAGGTGTCCATTCCACCAAAATTCTATTCTTCCTAGCAGAGGTATTAGCCACTGCTATCCAACTTCTCCAAGGAAGTTATTTTAGGTGGCATTTAATAGTTTGAACTGTTGCTACTTTATTACCAAAATATAAAAAAAGAAAAAAGAAAAAATGTTGCTACTTATGTCTGAAACTGAAAAGATAAGTAGCTATCCCCAATAGTCTGCTTTGGTGCACCTATAATAGGCTAACTTATATCTGAAACCTCATTCTTACCAATAATAGAATTACCAATTGTGACTTGTTAGTTAGTTAGGTGAGTCGTCAATTGGCAAAACCGGATTCATATAGCTGACCCCATATAGATGGCATAAGGCATGGATGATGATGATACAATTACAAAAAAAAAGGATCCTCAATCTAATCAAAATATATAGTAACAAAATAGATAAAAATCAAAATGGCAAGTCAATGAAATATTTAAGGAAGAGAATATGGCTAAAAGACTAAAAGGGAGTCTACAAAGAAAGATACCTATTAAAGTTTCTTAATTTTCTCCTATGGTTTTTTGAGTTTTAAATGTGCAATCATACTTCTAATGATTCCTTTAAGGTTTATTAACTAATTCCATGCTTCTAGAAAACTTCCTTGATTTTCTAGATTTTCCAAATGCCTTAGCGGAATCAGTGAAATATCTCTGAAATTTCTCCATTTCTACATAGTGAAATGCCCATAGATATTGAATTTAAGATCCATGATTGTAGGGTATACCCATGATGATTTCTAGAGACTACAACCCCTTTTATGTTTTGTTTTGCATATGATTGTACATTAAGTTTTTCTTCTATGTTACTTTGGTTCCAGACTTAGCCTCTGATTGTTTTTGCTAAAGAACTAAGGCTTGAATATGTCTTTCACCACAAGCTGCACACCATGCAGTTTAAACATTGATGAAGATCAAAACATACAAAGATTGAGCATACCCATATGAATCAGAATTTGTTGTTCAATGCTTCAACAATGGAACATGAGCTCCATGGATAAACAAGGAGGGTATCATGATCAATTCTTTTTTGAAGGGCCAGTTTGTTGAGTACTCCACAAGGCATGTTTTCAAATTTACAGAAATCCACCTTCAAGCTTTTTGTAATTGTGTATGACGATTACACCTTGTCTACCTTATTTTCATTTTGAGTGAGACCACAAGCATTTCCTGTAATGGTGCTAGTTGTTGAACGCAAGGTTCACATTTCGTAACATATTGGGGTGTACCGTATCAGCCCCACCCCAATATGCAATATTGATTATTTTAAAATTTTAACATAAGCAGGGGATAGACCTTGCTAAAACCGGCCCTGTACAAAATTTTGAAAAAAAACTAAAAATAAATAGAAAGTGTTACTCAAACCCCCAATACGCACACTCTGGCGTTTCAGGGTGTATCGATATTTTGAACCTCGGTCATATGTAGCACAAAATGAAATTTTCTTTCTTTGGTTAATATCTGGATAAGGTCTCCTATTGCCCAATTAATCCACAAAAGGTCAATGAATATATCTCAACATTTTAGACATTTGCCTTTGAGTCTGTGTGCTTCTGTTGATCTTGTTTTTCTTATTCCAAAGAGCAGCTCATGGTTGCATATAACATTCACTTCTTATGGCAATAGCACGTCATGTCAGTCAATGGATGGAGTCTATGTTAAAAAAAGAATGTCATGTGGCAAGACAAAAACAGCCAAAATCATTTTAACTACATAGTTCATCAAACAAGCTATTCATTAGAATATAACTCAATTCAATACAACAAAGACTTCTCCTAAGTCCTAATTTTTTTTCTTTAATTGCAGTAGAGAAAACCGGATAAGCATGACATAGGAATTTGATGGATATTAAACAGAGAGCTAAAAATAAGTTTCTATACCTTGAGCAGCATCCCATATTGTGAATGACGAGCTCTCATGTGAAGCAGAAGCCAAATATTTGAGAATATGTCAAGGTTTTCATCTTTTTTTGGGTTGGAGCACCAGAAAAAAGAAAATGACTTTGGAAACAAAAGGTAACATACTAATTCCATGGAAACGAATGAATTCCAACAACATTAGAATTCACAAGGCACAAGTTTATAAACCCTTGTTAGATGCTTTGATTTATTTATTATAGATAAAAGGAATGAATGGATTGTATTAGAAATGAATGAAAGTTTAGACAATGAAAGCAATCTATAGCAAGGATGAGTCAAGCACATCAAGGACATGGCTTTTAAACCCCAAAAAAAAATCAGAGTGGAGAACAAGAGTATGTTCCATTTTGAGGTGTAAAGAGAGAAAAGTATCTAAATAATTTTTGCCATTGGTTATAATACATCAAAGGCCTTTACCCAATGTTGGTCCCAACCATCTGGAGTCTTGGGAGGGTGGACCAGATACAGACGTAACCTTTGGAATTTTTATGCACAAGGTGGCCACTCTCAGATTTGAACCCTCATTCTAACACTTGTCAGTCTAAGACTTCACCATTAAACCAAGCAATGGCTCCTAATATTTGTAATACATCAATACAAAAAAGAAATCAATTTTTAGAAAACCGGAGAAAAAGAAATGCACTGCAATAAGATAAATGGCACAGGGGAGTAGCCGAGCAGGGTTGGATATCTTCCATCAGGACTCCATGAGAGTGCAGTAATTTGCTCATCTTTAGGACTTCTAAGAACATCAACAAGAGTCCATCTAACTCCTGAACCTCTAGGGAGGGTACCCGCAAAAGAGGCAATTCCTGATCTCACAGAAGCTGCATTTCCTGGGTAAGAAGAAGACCAAATGCAAATTCCACCTCTGCAAATAAAAAAATCCAGTTTAATTCTTCAATGAAATCATACAAGTTTAAAACTTACAGCACTCACTAATAGAATACAGTTAAAAAGAAATAACTCAAATAACAATGGGAGTGTTAGAATTATCAAGATACTCGCTTGCATGCTACAGATAGTGTCTTCCCACCATTTGGCCTCCACTGAAGAATCTTAACATCTCTTTGTGAATCACTGGTCAAAATGCATGGATCCTTTCCTTCTATTCACAAGAAACACTTGGTATTAAAGTACTAGATTTCAGTGGAATGCCATTAGAAACTATTGGATAAGAAAAACTCCACTGGCAGAAGAAAAACAAAGAAGAATGAAAGCAATCACTCCACAATCAAACATATATAGATACTGACCTGAATCTTCATAATCACGAATTGTAACTTGATTTGGCCCAGAGATAAATGCTAAGATATGCTTATGTTGATGCCAACTTACTCCTTGAAGATCAACTTCTGATAGTAAATTTGCCTACATAAACGTGACATTAGAAAGTAGAAACAGACAAGTTTTACAGTAGAACCATCAACTAGTCCCTACTCCCTAATATCATTTTATATATTATCAGCATCCTAAAACATAGAAATAAGCACATATAGATACATATAGATACCTCATTTCAGTGTTTCCAATGTAGGTATATAAATATTAGGTATTGTGTAGCCAAACCATGTCATGTTGTATAAATAGGGGTAAAAAGGTAGGAAGGGCATCATAAAAGACAATTTTTTTAACTTAGAGTTTTATAAAATTGTTTTAGGGCAAATTTACCACCAATTAGTATAAAGCAAGCTTACTTATCAGAAAAATAAAGCGAGCAGCAACCAATCAAAAAAATGGATTTACGGAAAACACAACAATAATGGGAAAGTAATAGGCTTGTTATAGTATGGCTTCAACAAGTGGCCCTCATCAATTATTCTTCAAAAGTTCAAAGAGGCTTTTCTACTTTTCTCTTAATTTCCATAAGCAACAAAAAATGTTGTCTTGGTATTCTTTCTCCATAATCAACTAATTACTCTTTGCCATTCTAACTTTAACTAGAAGAAGGGCTCCACCCCTTCATTTTGTTTTCTTTTCTCTACAAATAACATATTCAATCACATTTTGTCTCCTCTACGGTTCCATTACTTTCAGCATAGCATAGCAGGAAATCAGTCCTTTCATTTGTTTGTTTTTAACCCTTTTTTTATAGATAACCCTTTTTTGATAGATAACTTTAAAACTTCATTAATTATTGAACAACAATATGTACATACAATACAAGCATCCCCTTGAGAGGTGCAATCTGCACCTTCTCACATATGATTAATATCAAGAGATCAAGATACAACTAAGCCCAATACAGTTTATCCCTATTAACCCCTTGCCTGGCTAAGGTATCAGCCATTCCATTAGGTAACCTTTGTACCCAGTGTATCCTTATGGCCATATTGCTGGCTCATTTGAAGTTCTTGACTCCATCCCTGTAAGCCCATACTATCTGCACCCCTTGAAGTACATCAAGGAATTCAGCCTTTCAAAGTCCTCAACACCAGCTGAACAAAGCAACAATGTAACCATCTTTACCACTAAATACTCCTCTACTCCAGGGGGACCTGGATTTCCCTGCCTGCTCCCATCAAAGTTTAATTTGATAAATCACTCAGTTCAGGATCAAAATTTCAAAACATATTGGTCATACTGTATCAGTGGGGCACCAATAGACCTGTTCATGGGTCGGGCCGGGTTCGGGCCAAGCTTTGCCTATGTATCAACATAATACATTCAGGCCCAAGCCCAAGCCTGGCCCAACCATCAGGCCTAGGTCTTAAGCCCGAACCTGGCCCTCATATAAAGCCCAAAGCCCAGGCCCAAGCCCGGCCAGAAATTTGAAAACAGAATTTTTTTTCTTTTTTTATTCAATAAAAAAGCGTTTTGTTTATATTAAAAACCTTCAAAACTCAAAAATAATAAGCATCTCACTATTACTTGAAAAAAAAAGAGGAGCAAAGAAAAAATATAGTATATATATTTTTTATTAAATAAAATATAATTTTTATTATTTAATATATAGTATCAAATCGGGCTTGGGTTCGAGCCCGAGCCCACAGGCCTAAAATTATGACTAAGCCCGACTTAGAACAGGTCAGCTCGTCGAGCTACCCGACCCATGAACAGGTCTAGTCACCAATACGTGACATCATACTTAGAGTTTCGGGGTTTGACCTATTTCAAGGGGTAGATAGACCTTATACCAAACCCCCTGAATGGTTTGAAACAAAAAAATAAAAAATAAATAAAATATATATAAAGAGCTCTCTCCTCAGGTAAGGACACTTGGCTTTTTCTTGCTCTTAAGCTCTCTTACTCTCGTGTGACCTCGTCTGAGCTCTCTCCTCAGGCCTCATCCAACCCCCTCGTGTGCACTTGACTAACTTGACCCATGGAGTAATACCCAGGGCCTCTGACGTGCTCTCTCCTCCTCAGGTCGGACTTAACATCCCTCCGCTTCATCCGCCCTCGGAAACATCAGCCCTTGGCTTCGCGGTAGGCTCCTTTCTCTGCTCGACCTCTACAGGCTCCTTCCCTTTCCCGGCTTCGACAAGCCCTTTTGTCTTCTAGGTCCCAGCAAGAGCCTTCAGCCGAGGTACCTTCTCGGCAGCAGATTCTCTTGGCAGCTATTTCCGTGGCAGCCCCTCACCTGGAGTCCTCTTCCAAGACTTCGTCATCTCCAACAGCATTTCCTTCGTGTTGCCCTGCATCTCTGCAAAAAAAAAAAAAAAAAAAAAAAAAAAAAACATGAGCATGTTAGTATGAGACATAAAGGAAGAAAGCTGACATGTAAAGCCAACAGTAAGAGTTCCCCTACCGAGGCGGGCGGGGTTGAGACCAGCCTTTGTGCCAGGGCATTATCCTCACGGCGATGAGGTCTAGCTATCCCCAATCAAACCTGAATGGCCAACCCTCTGGACAAGATATAAAAAAGTACTTCCTCTTCCAGTTATGAACTAACGACGAGTTGTCCACCACTCTACCTCGTCGGCCTTGAAAGTAGTACACACCTGCCCCGGTAGGGTGCTGCCTCGAGACGAACATACACCAAAATATCTTCTTGTTCACGTTGACACCTTGGAGTCGAGCCATCATCATCATAGCAATGATTGCCCTAACGGCATTGGGGGCAAGCTGATTAAGGGAGATACTGTAGCAATTCAACAGCTTGGAGACGAGGGGGTATGTGGAACCTAAGGCCAAAGTGGAAGCATAGTTGTCAAGGCGACTAGGCGAAGGCTAGGCGACCATGGGGCGCCCAGGCACCTAGGCGATGGAATCTATAAATATATTAATTTATGGATTCTATAATCAGCTATTTTAGACTTTCAAAATAAAGCATTTCAAATTCAAACATATCTCAGATTTTCAATTCAGCAATCGGCATACAATCAAATTCAAAATAAAACATTTCAAAAAAAACAAAAGAGTGGACTCAAGGACTCGAAGGGGCGGACGACTGTTGGAACACTTGGACAGTTGGACTCATGACCTCATGGGGCGGAATGGAAGAAGAAGAAGAGTGGAGAGAGGACTAAGTCGACTGGCTATTGAGAGGACAAAAGAGTATAGGGGCGGAGCCCCTTGTTTTTGACTTTTTTCGAAAAAAAAAGGAGGTTTGGCAGAAGAAGACTGCGGTTGTGGACTGTTTTTTCGAAAAAAAAAAAAAGGAAAAAAGGTTGAAGAAGAAGAAGAAGAAAACTAAAGAAAGAAACTTACCTGCCGCTACTGGAGCTGAGGTGCGGTGGAGGTGGGCTGGGGCTCGAGCTGGTGTTCGGTTCTCCTCCCTCTCCAATCGAAACTGAACTTGTTTCTTGTCTTAATACTTAAGAGTTAAGATGATAGCATGTAGCAGATATATTTTAAAACAATACAACCATCAATAAAATTTCAAAACAATAAATTAACTAAAAAAATAATTTTATTATATCTAAATAGGCACCCGCCTTATATGTAGGCGCCCGCCTAAGTCTTTGGGTGGGCGCCTAGTATCTAAAACTTGGGGCGTCTGGGCAAGGCGACCATGAAAAACTGCCTAGGCGGCCCGCCTAGGCATCGCCTTGACAACTATGAGTGGAGGTAGTGCTCATGTACGCACACCTCCCCCTCCTCCGGCAACCAAGGCCTATCACCTACATTAGGGACTCTAAGCCTATATCCCCTCGAAATATGGTAAATCTTAGCAAGATCCTTGACTTGCTCTATGCTAAGTTTGCTATCCATGTCGGAGCGTGGATGGCGCATTATTGTGATGCCTCGGGCCTTGACCTCGTCTATGCCCTCAGGGCTCAGGTCTTCACCTTCACCACCCTCCACCACTTCGGGCGATGCCACCCCTCGGCCACGAAGAGCCGGTACTTTCATTGGGAGATTCATTGCCCCGCCAACTGCACTCGGCAACTCCAATAGCAGTCCTCTCCCTCAATACCCGGACCTCGGGCCTCTGAGGCAAGCCCTCAAACTCTCTACCAGAGCTCTCACTACTACTAAAGGACGTGGTCTGACGAGGTGAGCTCGCGCCCGACAGATCAGGGAGGTCATAACACTCAGGACCAAAATCGGAGTACGACATGGCTAAGGGTGCAGTCCTTTACCTAGTAATCAGAGTTAAGATAGAAGCTAAGGGATCGGCTAAGAAGGTGGTAGAGGTTTCTGTAAGCCCAAGCTGAAGAAGGCAAATGGTAGTGACCGCCTCAACCAGCGCCCTATTTAAAGAAAAATGAACAGATTAGATCGCCTTGATCCAACGGCCGTGGCGCAACCGACCTGGCAGCCCACACTAACACATGATATGTGTCGTCGACCTCGGGAATGCGAAACAATGCCGAGCGGGTCAGCCAGTTCACCCGCCGACTCCGGCAAGAAGCTTCCCAACCCGAGCGACCCAACGTCCGTCTCGCGTATAGTCACGACCAGTCGACGCTGAGACTCGTCCCACATACAGTCATTACCAATCAACAGCAACACTTGTCTCGCACACGGCTACGGCAGACCGATCTGTCGCCCGTCCCATGCACAACAACAATCAGCCAACGCCGACGTCTATCCTACGCCCGGGTCCACCACGACGTTTGTAAAGCACATGGCCGCCGCCTATCTCATCTCAATTCACAACTTTTTTTTTTCTTTTAATGCCATTGTTATCTATTTCTGGTTTCTTTGTCCTTTTTGTCCCATTGTTCTTGGGTCATCACATGTACTCTGAACTAACAGAGAATAAGAAAACCCTCTTAGATTTCATCTCTCGCATCCCTCACGCCAACCACCTTTAATGAAACTCCTTTGCTTCCACCTACTCATGGGGTGGAGTTGAATGTGATGCCAACCAATTGGATGTCATTATTCTTTGTATCCCTTTTCTATAGTAAAAGAAAAAATTATTAAAGCAAAAAGGAAAACCTCCTTCCTCATTCCAAGCTTCTCCCCCTTCCCCAACT